GAGACTCCCCGTGTCCTCGAGTACAAGCTGTAAACCAGTGAAGCTGATTCTGACTCGTTCGGGTCATAACCTGAAACCCTCAAACCCCGCCTACAGACGGGGCGGAGCCTACCTGTCCAGGTCGCTGTGCGGCAGCAGATCGTAGCAGCCCTCGGTGTAGTCGTTCTGCAGCGTCTGCCGGTCAGGGAAGTAGTCCGTGGTAAGCGGGAGGCACGCCGGCGTGGTCAGGGACTTCCAGTCCACTCCCACTGTGCAGCAGAAGCTGGGCACTGTGGGGGGTGCAGATAGCAGCAGGCCTTCACACGCGCACACACACACGCACGCACACACAGCAAAACAACAAATCCCCGCAGCACAGACAAATGCAGGTACCCAGAGTGGAGTGGTACAAATGTGGGGGCAAGGATCAGGGAGCGTGGTGGGTGAAGACAGGGAGGAGGTGCGAACGACACAGAGTGGAAAAGAGGGGAAGAAAAAACAAGAGATGTGTTACTCAGTGGCCTGATGCTCCCGAGGGCCTGACGGTGCGCAGCAGCGATCACACATGCAGATTGTGGTCATGTGACGGTCAGGCTGTGATGGCATCGCTCAGAAAGTGAAAAACGTTCTTAGCAAAGGCGTGAAGTTCTCCTTCATGCAAACACAGAGGTGAACAGTGGGTTCAGAAGCTCTGCACCGCCATGCAACAACAGCACACTGCAGAGAGCAAGGAGGTCGCGGCGTTCGAAGACGACAGGGCGGCGAATTCATTTCAGCTGCGTCATCAGAAAGTGTTGAGAGAAAGCTAGAAAACAGCAGGACGGGGAGAGGGTGACCCGGCGCCACGTGACCTGTGACCTCGTTTATATCTGCCGACCCCGGAGAGACTCGCCGCCCTCGCAGGGAGCTCGGGCTTTAGTGGCAGTTTGGAGATTTCAGATATTTATGATCCCAGAGACTACCTGCAGTTTTCAAACAATTTGTGATACTCATCAACTGGTCCCATTTCATTTCTATAAAGTCAACTGGAACTTACTGGGATCGGCACCAGCGGCAGAGAAGTCCTGAAATGAGCTGCGGTTGGTGAAAGTTCCTGTGGACAAAGACACAGCATCAGGCTTCACACCGTCACTGAAATGAACTCTGGAAAAAATCAACCACGTGAGATTCAAACGTAAACTACAAACATGGAGGACATGCTGTCAGCAGGCTCTAACGCTTCTGTCTTCACTGCATAGGTGTCAAACTCTGGCCCGCGGGCCAAATTTGGCCCACAGCCTAATTACATTTGGCCCGGAAAGCCATACAAAATTACCATTAGAGCTGGCCTGCCAGTATCATACAGTACTGCTAATACTACAACTCCCAGAATGCTCTGTTGGTGTTTTGGCACGTCATTTTGAGTTTGACAGCCCTGCTTCACTGTGACACGTGACTAAACCTCACATACACCTTTGATCCCAACACGCCATGTGACAAACCGTCCCATGAGGACGCTCTGAAACCAAACGGTCAGAATGAATCTGTGATGAAGGTTACGCTCAGCGGGCTCTCAGCTGGACAAACCGCAGCAGCGCTGACGGCTTTTCATAAACAGATGGTGTTTCTCTACAACATGGTTTTAGTCTCTTTTTCCAAACCAAACCCTCCGGCTCACTGCCACAGATCTTTCTGCTCGGTCTGGATAAAGGCAGCTAGCTCAGGTGACGCGTAACGAGCACTGATAAGGCTTCAGCAGCTGTATCACCGCTGTTGTTGCTCCCCGGGCTTCCGGTGAACTCCTCCCCTCCTGCAGCGGGATAGAGGCCGTTGTCTCCTGCGTGGCGCGAGGTGCTTCGCCTTAAATGAAAAGGCAGAAAAAGCAGCGATCACTCGGCGTGCCGGGGCTTTGTTTATGGAACAAATGTTTGCCCGCTGAGTGTGACTAACCTTCCGGTGGCCTCGTGATAGGCGAGCTCCAGCAGCTCCGCAGAGGTGTGGGCGGGGTCTCTCTGCTGGCTGTCCTGCAGCTCCGCCATGTTCTGCCTGGTCTGATGATGGATCTGGATGGCCTCCCCAGAAGGACCTGTTGAACACTCGTGTGTCTGAGTCTCACTGCATCAGTCGTTGGCCCTTTGCCATTTAGATCATCTACGAAGGTTACGCGGGATAGGAAACATGGCTGACACCTGGGCGTGTGCGGATGCAGCCAGCGCCGACACACTGCCGGCTGTTCCATTTAATACTTTTAACTTTCTACAGAGACTAGCTGGTGTGTCAGAGGCGGCCCAGGCGTTTTTGCACCTGGACCTCTGCCACGTGTATGTTTGGGAACTCCTCAAACACAAACTTTACTGGAACATTAAATAAACGCCATTTCTTTGTAGCACATGCTAAACGAAGCACGAGCTGGACGGTCCGAGGGAGACGTTTTCCTCCTGTTTAAACTTTGCATCAGAACCGGTGCTGACACCACGTCAGAGGGGCTCCAGCCTTCATCGCCTCGGCCCCTCATGTGTGGCACCACTACTAAACTTCATACATGAATGTTGGCAGTGCGCCGGGATGAATTCATTCCGCACTTTGTGAACCAAAGCGTGTTTCCTGTGTAAAACCTCACCGACAGGAAACGTGTGCATCCAGCGGCGGCGGTTGGACGTGAGCTTCATGGGCATCCTGGATGGGGTGAAGGGATTGATGAGCGCTCTCTGAGGAGCGTAACCTCCCGGCCGGATGTGCAGCGTGGACTCGGCACTTCCCACTGTGAACCTCCCCGGGGCGCTGGAGTCCCGCTGAGACTCCATCATCTTCTCTAAAAGGTCTGAGCAACACAATGAGATTAGAAGAGGAATGAAACGGCGACCCCTGCAGGTGGGAGGACTTTACCTCTGGTGCTGGTGTATCCCAAAGAACTGCTGACTTCATACTGAGCAGCAGGCATCCGGGGTATCAGCAGCATGTTGGACACGGGACCCAGGCTGTCATCAGAGGCCAGGCTTCGTTGTTCGTCGGGACCTCCTGAGCGAACCGGAGGGGACGCACCTATGCCCGTGCTGACGTCCACCGAGCCCCAGCTCTTCCTCCCACTCTCTTTGTCTCGAGCCATTCTGAAAGATAAGCAGCCGCTACTGCATCACAAAGCTGAGGGGTCATCGACTGCTGTTAAGTACCCGTTACCTCCAAAAGCACCAAAGCAGTCAGCTACCTGAAGTTTGTGCTCCTCTGAATTCGTGAAGGACCTGGAAGTCGGAACACCTGAGCATCGTAGGCGTCGTAGTCCACCTGTATGGGCAGCGCGTTGTCACAGTCCTTTGGCACACAGAGAGCTGGAAAAATGACAAAGTCAGCATCGGACTCCTGCTTCACAAACCAGAGGACGCAGAGAGATCGGTGCTCAGCACTTACTGTGCTCTTTGCTGCTCTTGAACTTCTCTGCTTGAAGCTAGAAATACGTTAATGAGATTTTTAACCACGAAACACAATTTTTCAGGCCACCAACAATGCTGCGAGTGACATTATGCCGCCGTACCTTATGGCCAGCGAGTTTAATCCGAGGGGTGAAGGAACCACACGAGTTCTGGCTGCTGGAAGTGTAGAAGCTGTGGACGAGGAGCAAAACGGGAATCAATCACTCGGCTCCACCTCGCCATTGATCGTCATTTCAATTCAGACGTAGCAGTTTACACAGAGGCTTCTAACGAGCTACAGTTATGCTGCACATCAGGACACAAGCACGCCCAGCTCGGTGCGGACGAGGCCGCGGTCAGCCGAGGGTACACTCCTCTCAGCCTGTCACTGTGGCCGTGGGAGCAGCCACAGTGTCACTCAGTCTGGAGCCGTTTCACCAAAGACCTGAGATGAAAGTCATCAGGTGACGGCAGCTTCATGCAAACAGTTGTTGGCGATTATGAAAAATATATTCTCTCTTTGGTCGCTAACGAGTCGCTAACGAGTCGCTAACGAGTCGCTAACGAGTCGCTAACGAGTCGCTCTAACACGCCGAGGCTGAACCTCGTCTCACTGGCTCCAGTCATGAGGACTTGCCTGTGGTTGATCCAGTGAGGAAGGTTGTAGTCGTCACCCACACCAGAGTCTCCAGGTGGTGTCCTGTTGTGTAGCTGCA